CAGGCGCTGCGGAGGTTCCTGCGCATTCGGCGCAGAAAGACCAGAGCCAGCGTGACCAAGGGCACAGCCAAGCCCAACTCCACGCCCAGTGAGCTGCAGACAGAGCCTGCTGCCAGCACAGCGTCCACTGAGCTCGCTGCAACCTCTGACCGGGCAGCGGCCGAGGGCAGGGCAGAGGCTGGCATGGCCCTGACTGAGGGCATGGCCAACTCAAACAGCCAGACTCAGGCCAACCCAGAGACTGACGTCATGACTGCACGGACTGTGAGTCCTGCACCCAGGCTGGAGTTTTTCCAGAAGGGTGTTTCTTCTCTGCAGCAGGCAAGCAGCCTGGGGCCAGGGCAGGAGGCCTCTCAGGATCATGTGGCCCCTCAAGCCACGTCCACTAGGCTCACTCAGCCTTTGGGGCCATCACAGTGGGGTGGGAAGGCAAGCACTTCCTGGGGGAAGCTGGGGAAGTTGCTCCCTTGGACAGCACACCAAGTCTTCCCCATGCTGCTTCCTCCAGGTGTTAGCCACGGTCAGGGACATTCTACAGAGACTCGCGTCCTGCGACACTGTGGATGCTGAGCTGCAAACGGACATTGTGAGCCTGACTGAAAAACACCCTGCTCACGTGGTGATGAGCCTCCTGCACTGTGCCCCATTGTGTGACAGGTACGGAGCACAACTGCATCAAGAGCTCAGTGCTCATGGGCCTGTAGGGCCCCTTGCCCTGTACAGCCTGTCCGGTGGGGTCTGCCAGACAGCGGAGAGCTCCGGGACTCTCGGGTCCCTCTGTTTCCCCAGCCCTCTGCCGTGCTCCCTCCCGGCCCCTCAGGGCACTGGGGCTCTGTCACCCGGCCCCACGCAGCTGCATGGGGCCGGGTGCTGACGCACAGCTCTGGTCCCACAGAGCTGCCACACTGATGTGGAGGGCCATGGGCAGCTCGGAAGTAGCCGCGGAGGAGGTGCTTCCAGCGCTGCTCTCTGTGCTAGAGAAGCAGCCACCGTACAGCAGGATCTTCTGCAGTGGGGACGAGGCCATCTTTGCCCTGGCTGTGAGTTTCTGGAGCTGGCCTTTGCTCACCCTCCAGGTCACCTCTCCAGCAGCTCTCCATGCTCTCACCATGCTGCAGCTCCCGGCCTGGGCTGAAAGCTGGGCTCAGGGCAGGCTCAGGGGCAGCAGGCTGGCTGCTTGCCCTGCATCTCCTCTTGGGTCCTGCCTCATGGATACCTTGGCACTGAGAGCTGTCTCAGGGTGCTTTGTGTCTTGCAGGCAACTCTGGTGCTGTGGAGGATTGCCCCCATGTCTGAGTGGCACGACGCAATACTCCTTCATTCTCCCCAGCTGTTTGTGGATCTGCTCTTGCAAATTTTCACTACCACAGAGCAGATGCCAGAGGACGCTGAGACCCGGAGTTTCTGGAGAGTGTGCTGGGAGGAACATGGCCTTCCCAGTGACCCGAACAGGTCTCAGTCACCCTGTCCTTCCCATGCCCCCTGTGGCCAGGGCCCGTGCTCCCAGCGTGACCTGGCCTTTGCTCGGCACACAGGTTTGCAGCGCAGACCATGAAGGCTCTGCTCTCCCAACTGGGTTTTGACAAGAAGCTGGTGGCTCTGGAGCACCTGCAGGTCTGGGACACCCTGCTCTCTCCTGACACCCAGCACGAGGCAGCGGGCCTGCTGGCCAGGTGAGACCCCCTTCTCCCCACCGCCAATGCCAGCATTTGTGCCCTGTGCCCAGAGTGTCCCACACAGTCCCCGCGGTTGTAAGTGAGAGGGCCTTGCCACCGAGGGACGCCTGAGCAGACTGCAAAAGCCTGGCAGAGGAGGATGCCCAGGAGCAGCCGCCTCCCAAGGGGCCTGTGTCCCCTTGCAGAGTGATGGGAAAGATCAGACCTCTGCCAGTCTATCCTGGGAGAGGTTTGCCCACCGGCTCAGGGCCTGGATACCTTTTTCCCCTGCCAGGGAGATGCACCATGGCTTGAGCCCCCTGTGTCCCCACATGGCCTCGCACCTGCTCAGCCTGCTCATCGGGAAGCAGCCACGCTGGGATCTGCCTGCCCTGGCGTTCTTGGTGGAGGTGAGCCTGATGGCCAGCGCTGCCTGGCTGAGCTGCCTCCCAGCTCTCTGGCCTCTGGTAGCTGCAGCCGCCTGGGACGCTGCCCGCGCCCGCTGCTGCTGCCTGGGCCCGGCCCTGTGCGGCTCCGGGCTCCTGCCGGCCATGTCCCCTGTCACTGCCCTGTGCCTTTCAGCTCCTGGAGTGTCTGGACTTGAGCCAACACGGTCCCAGTGCCCTGTGGGTCGTATCCAGGCACCTGCCAAGCGAGTGCAGGGACAGGCTGCGCCTGCAGCTCAGAGGCCTCGTGGTGCTCAGCAAGGAGCCCTTGCTGGTGAGAAGGGGGCAGTGGCTGAAGCCGCGCTGGCAGGGTGGGGCTGGGGAACACAGACCTTTGGCCTTGGCTGGGCTCTGGCAGCAGAGGCAGCTGCTCCCAGCTCTCCTGCCTCCCGCTTCAGCTGCCCCAGTGCCCCAAGCAGTTCTTGGTGCTGCAGCCATTCATGGCTTCACAGCACAGCCTCATCTTGCACACAGAGCGGAGAAATACGCGGCCTCTATCAACACCTGCTGGAGCAGCTGGCTGATCCCGATGCAGAGATGGTCTGGATGACCCTCTCTGTGCTCACACATGTGCTCCAGGACAGAGACCATAAGATACCCAGCATCACCACCCTCAAGCTGGCTGAGGCCGTGCTGCCACACTTTGACAATGTAAGGCTCTGTGCCCCCAGCCAAGGGCACTGGATGCTGCCTGGAAACTTTGTGCTCTCTGCAGTTTTGGGCCTTTTGCCCCAGTGGGCCTGGAGTAGTTGGTGCTTAGGACTTTTCCTTTCCTTCCAGGACAACAGCCAGGTGCAGCTGCTCTCCATTCAGCTCTTTAGCAAAGTGATGGAGCTGGTAGTGGAAAAGCGGGACGAGCCTCTCACGAGAATCGTGA